GTGTATTTCACGCGTCGCCTGCTGAATCCAACCACTATATGATTATCACCAACACAACTCTCTGTACTTGTTGCCTCTGTGAGCAGACCCATGTGACGCAAGAGGGGAAGGATCATGTGCCAATTTGCCCTAGAGATAAGGGAACCAACCAAGGTACCTTAGCTAGGTAACACTCATAACACAGTTCTAGTTAATATTATGACTTGTATTATTCATGGATCATGAGGATTCCTAGATATTTATCTTTATAATAATTATATTTTTATTTTAAATGATCATTCATAAATTATAATTGTATGTCCAGGATTTGTGCCACAAAATAGTTAATATATTAGTTGAAAATTAATTTTTAGTTGAAAGCTGTTATACAAACTTATTAAATTAAAAATATTCAGTAAAATAAGCTGTTGAATTAATAGATAATATAAAAAGACACGAAATAATATGTTTTTATATTTTTTATTTTTTATACATTTAATTATGATTTTAGATTTTTAAGTTGATTTTAAAACCTTCATCCAGCCTTCAAACACCTCTAAACAATGAACTATTTTTTTATACATCAAAAAAAATTTTAATATATATATTCCATTTTTTAGAAAAAACAGATAAGTAATTTGTAAAGACAAATGAAAAATAGTTATATATTATAAAAATAATTATGATATTAAATGATCAAATTGATAATTTATATATTAAATAAATGAATAAATTCATTTATATGAATAATAAGTAAGTGTATTGTTAGCATAATAATGAGTATAAAAAAATTAACAATTTATATATTCAAATAAACTTACATGGTAATTAAATCATTTATAGTTAGCTGATTAAATTGATTAATCAAACTCTCTTATTTGCGATTTTTGTTTCCTATCGTAGTTTAGATTGGTGAGTGAAAATGTAAGAGTGTAGATATATATATAATAGTTTGTGAGTATGATGGTTGATTATTCGTTAGGTTAGGTAAGCGAAGCGGTTGTTTGCCGAGTTCCTTCCAATCTGTCATCCTTTTCTGATAGCCCTTTTCGTTTGCAAAGAAAGAAATATAATTAAATCATATATTCGATTAAACAAGAAAAATGTTAGCTTTAGTTAAAGGTTTTCATTTTAAGTAATTAAAAATAATATTTTTATTATAAAAATGAAAAACATTATTATATTAAAAATATTATACATTTTATTTTTAATAAAAATTATTATTTATAAATATTTAAAATCAGCTCTAAATACTGCCATTAGACATATTTTGCTTGAAAGAATACAAAACAACACAGTCACGCACGCAAATTCATATATATTAAATGAATTTTTTTATGTAAAAAGAATAAATTTTAACCGTTAAATATTATCATAAATAATTAAAAATCTATTATAATATATAATAATTCTTCATCTTTTCATTTTAATTTTATGTTATGTAAACAAAATCTATCCATTCTCCCTTATTTTCTTTTCAATTCCTCATTGTTTCACTATGTGATATGTCAATTTTACTAGTTAATTACGGGAGAATAATTACTTAATTCATTTTTAAATAAATTTTGAAAATTCGTTCTTAACATTTTTTTTCATTCTTAATAATGAAATTATATATTTATATATTTTTATCTCGAAACTTTCTCTCTGCCTCATTTAATTTTCATTATAAAAATCATCACCCAGAATATCTTTATATTAAGTGGGAATAAAATATCAAATACAGACAAATTTTCAATTTTTTAAAATATTTTTAATAAGTACTAAGTCATCTATATTTAAATTTTATAATATAGTTATACTAAAGGTGATTTAACACAAATGTTTATGAACTTGAAGTTTATGTTTTAAGCACCAAGTTTTAGACAATTTAAATTTATCACTTTTTCATTTGTCTAGATCTCATTAATCATATAACATTCAATGATAATTCTTATTGTAATATCAAGTTAACAAATATAAAAATGACTAAATATAACTGAGTAAATAAATTTTTACAAATTTAAAAATAATTTATATATCATTCATGCTTATAAACTTGGACTTTATGTTCTAACTTCCAAGTGTTATGCGTGTGTATTGAATGAAAAGACGATGAGATTAAACTGATGAAAAACACTTGTATAAATGACACGAAATGATAACTACTTTCTTATAGTTGCACTGATTTATTGAACTCTTTCTTTTAGAAAAACAATGTGTTGGGTGAGAAATTGCTAGAACGCAATAGAAAATTGATCTTTTAATTGTCATAGATTATCCAAACTATGCATGGGTCAATTCAAATTTAGTAAAATACAGAAGTCATGTGATGTTTTTAGGATTGCATTTGCATGGCATAGCAACATATAACCAATCTCATCATCATCATCACCATTAGTACTTCATTTTGCATGAGATCATTGTGAGTGGGAATATGAAAGATCGAATTTCTTTATGTAAGAAAAATATTAGACAAACTCTACAACCTTCCAGTTAAATCCATTTTCATCTTTTATTACCATTGTATCATCTCACTGAGTTTGTTATATTTGAAAGACTGCTTGAAAGGGATTGAATTTGAACCTCACCCACAATTTTGAAGAGTCCAGTAATATATAGTACCATCAAAGTTCAGCTGTCACATTGATTTTCATCTAAAGCTAGTAGCAAGATCACGCCAATGATTAGACAAGTGAAAAATTAAAAAGAAAAAAGAAGCTGCGACTGGACTCAATCACTTTTGGTTGGCATTATTTCATCCCTCATGATACATTATAGAAATAGTGGAGATGGTAGAGCTTGACTCAAAGGGATTTTTATGCTTTTCATGAGCTTGCATTGTAGAATATTAGCCAAATTTACAGAAAGTGAGGATGAGCAAGACAAACAAGGACATGCACTCTCATCTATCCCCGACAAAGCGTAGACATATTTTAAGGCCAACCATCCATCTATACCTAATTAGGGGGCTCACATGCATGATTAAATCCTTATTCTTTTGCACATTTGACGATTCCTACATTACCCTTATGAAGCTTGTGTGACTAACATAGTGATTGGTTATGTCTGCCATATTTAATTGGCTATTCCAAATTGGGAATTTTTATTTTATATCAAAAACATTGATGGCCCTCTAAAAGTACTCCCCTTGAATCCATAACTTAAAAAGAAACAATATTAGGCACCATATTGAGTGGTTTATCGGCCTTTAGTAAATTTTCTATTCAGAAGCGTTTGGACAATAGGTATTTGATCCACCTATAATAATAGAATGCGCCTGGAAACTTGATACAACATATCAATACCTTTTGCCTTTTATGATACTTCCGAAGCATGATATCAAATTTCAATTTATCATCCATAACTTTATTTTTGAAGAGCCCCGATATATAGTTCTGTAAAGGAAGGGGGAAAATGTTACTAAGAATGTTTCCGTACTTCAATAACAATCTAAATTCTGATTGTGTCGATCACTTAATCAAGTACATTTTTTTTTTTATTAATATATTTTCCTTACAGATTACTAGTTAACTAGTATATATAGCAATAAAATAAACATTCAGATCTTATGGGAAGAAGTAGATTGCTAATTTACACTCATATCAAGGTGATAAATTCGTTCAAAGACAAGATACATACATATTTTTCGTTCATTACAAACAATAATAAACAACTAAAGAGCCCATACATCTCAAGGCAAAAGCTAGGAAGCGCAGGTGCCACTTCCAACTTGTTAAAGCTACTTGGATTTTGCTTTATTTTTCTACCTTTATTGAAACAATTTCCTTGTGGTGTATGACCAATTCCACTGACTATACCCCAAAAGAGGGGTGGTCACCTCCACAACAATACTAATTACCTTTAGTCAACTTTAATTAATATATTAATATATCAAATGAAATATTTTTATGGCATATCCTTGACATGATTGGATACAAGTGGGCCTTAAGGAATTATATAATATTTCAAACAGTAAATGATTGGGACAAAGATAATTTATTTTCAACACGTAGGCACTAACCTGTTTTCTTGCCTTGAAGACATGACAAAGAAGAATACGCAGTTTATATCTTTTGGCTTTCTAAGCAGAATCGATAATTTTACACAACTATGCTTCATATAAAACATTTATACTGTAATTGATGATGTAGAAACAGGGTGGCGTTGAGAAACCATCCAACATTTTTTTCCCTCGATTTTCTGTGCTTCTAAGTGCTAAATAATTTTGTTTAGTTGTCTCACTCGGGAGTGGGAGAGGAAGCATGGAAAGAATAGAACAATGAACATTCATAAATAATATTTGAAGTGGTCAAGCACTAGCTAATTGAACAACTGATAAAATATATGCACCTTTTAGTGCACGCTCACGCACACATGTATATATCATAAACGGGAATCAGTAAACCATATCTCTACTATTACACTATTCATGAACAGGTTGTTTCACTGGAAATTATACTTCTGTAAGTCTATATATGTATGTAAAGGGTAATCAAGTTTGATTGTATATTCAAAATTGGACACCTGACTTATGAATTAACTGCAATACAATGACCAATACGGGAATTAGGCTTTTATTCCCAACTCGAAACATATCTTTAAGATCCAAATAATTAATATAAAAAATCAAATAGCTACTACATAGGTTAAAAGTTCTATACTGTGAGTATATATATTTTCCACTTCTTAGTTCCTCAACCGATTAATCAAATACTTTCTCGTTATTAACCTTTAATTATCTGAGATTCTTAACCTACCTTAGGAAGAATGTTACAAAGATGAAAAAATAACAGAAGAGGAAGAAGAAGAAAGAGAATAGAAGCTGGGGAAAAGAAGAATAGAAAACCTGGATTTATAATATTCCAAAACACAAGCCCTCAACAAATTTTTCTTCACAAGAATAATAAATATCCCTATTGGCAGTCAATCAATCATCCACGCTTACAAGAACACAAAAGAAAGAAAAATCCAATCAGTCAACTAATTTGATACACAAACTCTGCACTCTATTTTTGTAATTTCTATTTCTTCCTTTTTCTTTAGCGAGCAGAATTAGGAGGAGAGTACTCACAGACAACCTCAGTTTGCACTTCCTTTCTGTGAAAGTTCCGATGGCAGCCACAAGCAGCACAAGTAAGTGCCCCACTAGTTCCCTCCCCTGTACTTGCCATGAACTCCCTGCAACCATCCACAGCATACCCTCCAATATTTGCTGCATGATTCTTCTGGCACTCCCCATATCGAATGTTCCTCATCACTGATGATGTAGTATTGGCCACATCCCTTTTCACCACCACTTGTCTCTTCTTCATGCTTGATTGTAAGAACCCTAATAAACTCAATCTCTATGTTTGACTGAGTGTGTGTGTGTGTGTGTATTTTGGGCGAAACAGTAAACTGATTGGAAGTTGGAACCCGAAATATATATACCCAGGAAATCGGATAGTTGGATGATGATTACTCGAGATAGCTCTAGCTCTATATATATGTTTGAGTCAGTGCTTGATGATCATGACTAACCCTAACCCTAGTGTGTAAATTCGTAAGTGGCTTATTTGGGTAAAGCACTAGGAACAAAAGATGGAAATAAAGGTCATGATGACAGTGCTGAGCAGCCTTGTTTTACCAACTTTCTGGTGCTCTTATATTTCAACTAAGGACTAAGGATACATATCTTACACTTGGTTCCTAAAGTATTAAGACAAGGTCTTAGATACTTAAATTTTTAGATATATGGAGTGTCCTTCTTTATAAAAAAGAAAAAATGAATATGGCATGTATTATATTTTTACCTCTCAACAATGAAAACGTTAAAAAGGAAGATGAGATGATGAAAGAATAATACACATGTCAAATTTTTATTTGAGAACAACATTACAAGCATATAAACAGCTTTATTCAAGTTTTGTCTAAAGTATTAGTTTTCTCAGCCAATGAAGGCACGACATTTCACCAAGTGGAAATGGTGGGGTTCTTAGTTGGTTATGATGCCAGAGAAAGGTAGAAGTATGTTTACACAATGATCATTCGTTTCTTTTAGAAGTTTAAGTAAAGGAAAGTGTCCATACCGCATTGTGGCGCCCTCTGATTGAGAACCGGACAAAACTTAATATGGGAACTAAAGGAGGGAATACTTGTCCTTACACTAACCATATAACACTGGAATTGTCTTTCAGAATTGATAGCTTACCTGTTTCTAAAGGACCAATTCAAAAGTGAAGAAAATATGGATATCGGGTTTTAATTAAAAATAAAATAGACAAGCTTGGCCATATTTATATATTTACACGCGCGGGTAAGTAATGAGGATAACTAATTATATATATTGTAACATTGGAGTGAATTGCTTTTTGGTCAAACTCATTGATTAAGCTGTTTAAGAGTTACCAACTAAAGCGTAGATGTTAATTTTATATCTTCAGTGGGTCCAATTTGATACTTAAAAGGAAGTTTGTTGTGGCCCTTGCAACTGTGACAACAACTCTTGTCTAATTACCTAAGATTCTAATAGGTATAAGACCATTCCCCACAATCATACATGAATGACCACCCTTTTCTTCTTTCCTTTGGATCAAATCAAGGACAATCATAACTTTTCAAAATTTCAACATCATTGATATGCTCTTGAACTATCTGGCCACCATCAAAGCTAAGCTAAAACAAAAGTGCACTATGTATGTCTACACACACCAGGCTCCTTTTTCTTGTTCAAGTCATTGCGAGAAAAGGGTAAAAGAGAAAAAATGAAAAATTGGGTCATAAATCTAGCCATTTCTCGTATTGAGAAGTTGAAAAGTAAGTGCCTTTCTCTGCAAAGAACCTGATACATGTAGTTTACAGGAGGCTTTTACAAAAATATAGGAGGAAGTGAAGGACAACAAAATAGAAAGACAAAGCGAGTATCAAAATGAAAAGTGGGTGTTTTACACAAGATATGCATTATTTCGAAAATTTTATATCATTGGGTTGGGGAATGGTGGGGGAAGAAGAATATAAATGCCATAGACAATTTTGATGTTGAAAGGTCTGGATTGTTCACTTAAGCCATGAGTAATACATGCGCAAGCAGGCATGAGGAGCCTCCACCAAAGCCATATCAAGGTGAAGAACTAGAAAAGGACAAGCACACAATGGGGCAACAACATGTGCACGTTAGAGAAAGTGACGAGGACGAAGGACACATGTGCTTGTCAATCAGAAGCGTGCACGTAGTTTACGTTATACGAATGAATTAAAAATCAGTTCTCTGGTGATATGTCACATTATATGCTATTTTTTAATTTTATATATACCTTTAAAATACATCTTAAATACAAAGGAATGTATCTCTTTTAATAATTAAAAAACATATTAATGATTAAAAATTCGTATTTAACTAATCTCCGTTTGGAAAAACAATATGCCCTCGTGAGTTTCTATGTACTGCAAATTTGGTTTATTTACGACGTGTATTGTCAAATTGATTCAAATGTGAACGATCGATCTTTTATGCATATTGTAACATGCTTTCAATTCAAATGAGATATCCTTCATCAGTGCTAGCTAAACTATGTGCTCATTTAAATCATTATAATGTAATTCTTATTTATATACATGGTTATTTTTTTATTGATTTATATGGGAGAGATACTGCTATATGGCCCTTCAATTTTGAAGTACCAGAGTAGTATCTTGTAAGTACTGACTGAGTCTTAACGTGGGTAATACTGCTAAAAATTAAATTAAACTATATTTTAACGTAAAAATTATAACTTAAATTAATAAAATGAATTTTGTTTGAGTGAATTAATTGAAAAGGAAATCTAAAGATGCACTTAAATAATGTTAAACTATTGTCATTTAACTTTAATCTTAATGTATATTTGATATGATTTATTTCAAGAAATAATTATTTTTTATCAATTTCTTTAAAAAATTTAAAATGATTATTTTTCAGAAAATAAAATAATTATCAAAGATGGACTGAATGCTATTAAACAACTGATGTTTTTCTAACTCCATGGTCACAAGTTGGGATGGATAACATATTTATTTTATGGCTTATTTCATAATAAAATAGTTTAAATGAGTTAAAATTTTATTAATAAATAAATTAATAAATATAAAACTTTAAATTTGTATTTTTAAATCATCAAATTTAAAATTTTTAAATAAAATAAATATGTAATGTAAAATAATAATAATAATAATAATAATAATTATTATTATTATTATTATTATTATTATTATTATTATTATTATATGTGAACATGTTAAGATTAAATTTCTTTTATAGCTAAAACTTTATCGACTTACTTGATATAATTTATTTATTTTTTTTGCCTTGATCATCTAGTTTGTAAATGATAAGTCTATGGCTTGTAACTGAAAGCTTATCACAGTATAAGTAACTTATGAAATTAAATAGTTTGACAAATTAAGTGTGGAATTGGTTAATTTATGCTTAATGCCTTAAAAAAACATATAATATCATATTTATATAATATTAAAATTAGATATAACTGATTTTAATTTATCTTATTAATAAAAATAATATTATTAATATAAATAATAACTTAAATTTATTTTTAAAATTATTAATTTTAACATATTATATCAAAAATTACATGAATTGATTTAAACATTTTATTTTTATAATATATAGTCTTAATTTTTAAAGTATTATTTTTTAATTAATTTATTTGTATAAAAAATATATTATTAATTATTAATAATAAAAAAGAAAAAAGAAAAAAGAAAAAAACTATTATAAAGATAAAGAAAACAAAATAAAAATAAGAGTAACATACTGAATTTTAATGTGAATGATAAGTTGTCTGTTTTAAAAAAAAATGAATGGTAAGAATGTAATAAAAATAGTAATAGCTAACTTTTGAAAGTTAAAATCTTCTTTAGATAACTTTTAAAAAGCTAACTTTCAAAAGTTACTAGCTCATTTCAGTTTGTATTTAACAAATAGCTTTACTAGCTTATTGACCAAGCATAGCCTATATTTTAGAATATTGTTATAACTATTTTCATATACTTGACCTATATTTAATATATTATACTGATTTTGTTATCATTTGTTACAATATATAGCATGAGAAGATTACTTGTGAATTGAAGATGCATTTGGGTTATAATTGAAGAAAATTTGATAGAAAGCAAGTCACGCACAATAGGAAGCACAATATTGTTTAACAATTAGTTTGAGAGTGCTTCGTGACTATGTACGACCTTGTTGGAGGGTTGATATGTAACACTCTCAATTTATTTAACTTGTTTTTGGAAAATAGAAATTTTGATGCAAAATTTCTCGCTATAGAGAGAAAGAGCATTATGGTCTAGGCCCTCTGGAGTGTTCTTGCTGTAGCTAGAAGTGGGTAAGGATGATCCAACAGCTCTTTCACTGTAACAAGAGAGAAAATCTCGGTGTAGCAAGGATTCTCGCTGTAGTTAGAATGACAGATAATAAAGAAAAATTATTGTCTAGTTTTTTCACTGTAGCAAGAGTTGCTTACTGTAGTAAGAAAGTCACAAATTTAAGAAATATTTAAAGAACTTCTATCTTAGAAACTTCATTTTTGAAGCCAAAAGCTTCCCTCTCATTTCTCCCTGTTCTCTCACCTTCCCTTCCCAAAGAAAATTTTCCCAAACTTTGAATATTTTCCAGATTTGAGCTTGAACACTTATTCCTTCTGATCCCAAGAAAAATCTTGGTCCTTCGATAACATCTCCTATCATAACTTTTCATTTCTTTGTAGATCTCGTAAAAAAAGTAGTCTTAGATACCTACTTCTAAATAAGGAAAGTTAATCCCAAACCCTAACTCTTATTTTGTGTTTTGACTTAAAAATTTCAATATTCTTGCCTTGAATGGTAAAGCCCCGATATTTATTAAGATTTCAGTACTAAGAATGGGATTTTTTAGCATGAAAACCCAAGTTTTTAAGGAAGTTTATGTTTTTAATATTAATATATTTATAGTTAATGTTAAATTATGACTTCGAACAATATATGGTAGACGATGTTAAACTCTAGGATAGACTATTTGTATAAAAAAAATTGAGAGAGTGTGATCTCTAGCAATGTATCTGTGGCTTAGTTCAATATATGTTAAATAGCGTGATTGGTTTGAGTCCAAAAGTGTTCGATCTTCGACACATCTTAATAATTTGTATGATGTAAAATTGATGGATGATTTATCTATGTTAGAATGATATATAGTTAATGTATGTTGAAATTGGTGAATTCATGTTATTAATAAAAAAAAAAGTGTTTGACTGCTCTTAGATGATAAAATATTTTATTAGTAAAAATTTATGAATAG